CCACGAAAGCTTATGCTCTAATAAATTTGTTAGTCTCTAAGGTGCCACAAGTACTCCTGTTGTTCTTCTTTTTGCGGATACAGACTAACACGGCTGCTACTCTGAAACATGAAATTACTAGCTAGCAGCCTCCTTCAGTCTTTTCAGCTGTAAGTGCTGTGTAGGGGTGGCTGCTCGAAGAAGGTTCCCATCCCTGTTTGGATGATGAAGTGGATGTAAGCAAGGCCAGGGTGCTGTCAAACTCCCTTCAAACTCTTTGCCGCTTCAGGTGAAATTCATCTGCAGCTTACTTGCCTTGGTCCTCACAGCTGCTCTGGAGACTAGCAGCACGTACGTCTCCGATGGCAGACTTTGGGTCCCGGGTTCGTGAACGCTGTCTGTGGGTTCTGAGCATACGTACGCAGGCAGGCCTGCGCAGGCCCTGGGCCCGACCGAAGGAGGAGAGGTGCTGCATGTTGGACTCGGAAGCTAGTTTAGAGAGAGCTCTGGGACCATGGCAGTCCGAGCACACAGGCAGCTTGTCTGTCCCCCTGAATAGTCAAAATGTACTTTTTAAACTGTATGTTGAACCTTCTGTATTGGTTTGAAGGCAGCTGAATTCCTGAGTAGTGATTTTTAGTTAAGCTTTGGGGAGAGAAGAGGGACACATACGTCTGGGGGGAGGATGGGGACGGGGGCGGGGGGGAGCAATGAAAGAAGATGGATGCACGTGAAGCTAAAAAGCGAAAATCCCATCCTGAGTGGGTTGGTCCCGTTGTGAGCGCCTCTCTCCTGCTCCGAATCCTTCCTCCTCCCTGCCTGTGGAGCTGGGCTCTACACATCTCTTCTCTATTGCTCACGGAACAGCACAAGCAACAGCAGTGTCAGCTCCTCGGCTGCAGTGGGAACAGGATCGGGCCCTAAGCAGGGTCCCATTCAGGGCCGTGGCCTCTAGCAAGGTGAACTTGAGACTGGGCTATATTTCTAGCAGACTTGGGACCGTCCTTGCAGAATGCCGCTGAGTCCCCTGGGGCGCTTTGTAAAGCGGCTCCTCTAGTGTGATTTCGCATAGCACCGCGCCCAGAATCTCACCCGTCCTTTCTGCCCGAGCCCATCGCTCCTGGCTGAGCTAGAGCGCCGTTTTAGAAAGGCATCAATCTGGATTTAAAGCCTTTGTGCTGGAGAATCCTTAGGGAAGTGCCTCTGGGGCTAATTCCTCTCCCTGGTTAAAAAGCAGCACCTTTATTCCTAGTCTGAGTTTGTCTAGTTTCAGCTCCCAGCCATGGGACCTTGTTCTGCCTTTTCCAGCTCGATTAAAGAGCCCTCTGCTATCAGAAATCTCCTTCCTACGTGGGCATTTAAAGAGCCTGAGCAAGTCACCTCTTCACCTTCTCTGGGCTACGCTAGACTGAGTGTCTTCACTCGCTGTATGGCAGGTTTCCAGTCCTCAGATCATTCTCACTCGCTCACTTCTGAGCCCTCTCCAAGTGTGAACGCCGGACCTGGAGCCTGTATCTAGTGATGGGCTCACTAATGTTGCAGGCAGAGGTCAACGCCACTGTCCGGCTCTTCCTTAATATTCCTCTGCATATTCAAGCATCCAGGTACTGGGTTTGCTCTCTTAGCTGCAGCATTGCACTGAGAGCTCGTGTTCACTTGGTTAGCTCCCGTTACGCCTTCTCGGTGCCCTGCATTCCAGCATACTGCCTCCCGTCTTGTAAGCGTGACCTCTGGTCTTTGGGCCGAGATGTATGGCTGTGTTAAAACACAGGTTGCTCAAATGAGCCCCATTTACCAAGCAATCCAGGTCAGCCTGTATAACTGGCCTGTCCCTGTCATTATTTACCACTCTTGTCATCTGCCGATTTGACAAGCAGTTACTGTATAACTTCTTCCGTCTCTCGGATAGAGAGACAGACTAGTGCTGAGCTGGGAGCGGATCCCCACAGGGCCCCACTAGAAACCTCAATATTGAAATTTTTGTTTCTATTTTTTGTCGGGGGGGGGGGGGAACAAGCCAACGTACGTTGTCAGCAGCGTCACTTTTATCACCCAAACCAGGCGTCGGCAACCTTTCAGCAGTGGTGTGCCGAGTCTTCATTTATTCACTCTAATGTAAGGTTTCACGTGCCAGTAATACATTTTAACATTTTTAGACGGTCTCTTTCTATAAGTCTATAATATATAACTAAACTATTGTTGTATGTAAAGTAAATAAGGTTTTTAAAATGTTTAAGAAGCTTCATATTAAATTAAAATGCAGAGCCCGCGTGCCATAGGCTGCCTACCCCTGACCCAAACTGTAATCTCCTCAAAAATGAGAGTTTGACGAGACCCTATTTTCCAATAAAAACCCAGTGACTGGCATGAATTATGCTGCCATCATGTAATTCTTTGACTGCCCCTCCTCTGTATCAGCCTTTCCACGAGTGTGCTCAGAACCGACACCCGGCTGGTGGCCTGCCGTTATCCACAGCAGCCATTTTACCTTCTTTGGAATATTGGCATATCCACTTTTCCCCCAGTCCTCTAGAACCTGCCCAATGTTCCCAGATTCATCAGAGAGCCCCTGGGTCAGTTTTACCAGGAAGTCTGGAGGTCAGGGCATGGGACAAGGGCTCAGAAGATCTGGGTTCAGTGCCAGGCCTTGCCACAGATAGACTGACCTGCCTAAGCTCACACAGGATGTCTCTGGGCCTCAGAGGTCCCCTCTGTCTGATGTGGCTCACAGCCCTGCCCTGCCTGCAGGGGCATTGGGAGCATACTTGGAGAGAGATCAGACACTTTAGTATAGTACAGGGGCCATGTGAGTGTGGTGTCTTTGTGGCCCACTGGGTGCTGTCTTGCTGTATCTCAGCCACTCGTACCCTTAGAAGTATCCTGTCTTTATTTTACTAATTTCAGAAGCACTTCTGGTTATTGTAATTAGCTCTATGACCCTCTCTTTGTCTTCAGTTCAGTAGTTACCAATGTGCAGCCAGCACAGGCCCTGGACGTGCAGCAGAGGGGAAGGAAACCAGAGAAAATATAAACCAGTGAACTTCCCTTAAAACCAGGCCCAGTCCTTGCTGGGGACACTCTGGCCCCAGGGAGAGGGGCAGTTAATGAGGCCGAAGGGAAAGGGGAGGCCCCCAGCCTGGGGGTGGAGAGGGCTCCAAGGAAACAGGCTGAAAAGCTAGAGCGAGTAGAGACAACATCTGCCACCGAGCAAGAGAGGCAGCAGCAACCTGGGCGGCCTGGCTCCTGTACGAGAGTCCTGCCTGGGAGTGCTGCCCTTCTGCACCAGCCCCTCGGCCCCCGGGGGAGGAACATGCAGGGGAACCCCTAGTACGTTCTGCTTGGGCCTCATCCGTCTGGAACACCAGGTGCACCGGGGCTCCCCGGCCCTGGCAGTGTCGTGTTCCCCTCGCCCTGCCTTGCGGGAGAAAGGAACGTAAGGCAGCTCACAAACCGTTCACACGTTTAGCTTTCTTGACCCTTCCTTGAAACCTGCCCTGGGGTCCCCTTTCAGAATGAGGTGTTACGGGGCTGTGGGGAAGCTGAGGTTTTACTGCATCTCAGATGATGGCTTGGTTCATTATTCCTCTCCCACCCCGCACTGGAAACCCAGCACGCCGACAGCTCCATCAGGTGGAGCTGGCACAGACCGTTAATGAAAGGTCGCGCTGGGGTTCGAGAGAGACCCAAAGGACTCAGCTTGTCCCAGGGACTGCTCCCTCTTGGGCCTACAGCTTAGCGCAGGCTTTGATGTTTCCGAGGGGCTCAGTGCCACAGCACCTGGAGTGGAGCGCTCAGCACCTCTGAAAATCCGGCCCCGGTGTTCCAAGTTGGGCACCCAGAATCAGTGGTCACTCTTGAGAACGTTGGTCTCTGCGTTAGCGAAGCTGTTGTCCCAGAGCAGCGATCGGGGCGTGGCTGCTAGCCAGCACCTCTGTGCTGCCGCCCCCAGTGACCCCAGACCGGCTTCCCTGCCTGGGCTTGTGGGGTGGGATGCGGCTCTTACAAAGGCTAACGAGCCCTTCTCTCTGTTCCTGCAGCCATGACCGCCTAGCCGTGGGGTGAGATGGAACGCTTCACCGACTCTGGAACTCAAACGGATGCGGTGGTGGTGCTGTCCCTGGCCCAGGCCGCTGTCTTGGGCTTGGTGTCCGAGAACGAGTTCTTCGGCGCAACCATCAGCCCCGGAGGCTTCTTTCCAGGGCTAGGAAATGAGCTTGCAGACACAGCCACGGTGGAACCGGAGGATCCGGAAGGGGCTTACAGGCTGCAGAAGGAAGGCTGCGTCCCAGCCGAGGCGCCGGAGGAGGAGGGGCTGGAGGCAGAGACTCCATTTGAAAAACATACCCGGAGGAGGAAGCGGCCCCCGGTGAGGCTGGTGCCCAAGGTCAAGTATGAAAACCCTGCGGGTGCGGAGGAGGAGGGGGCGTACGAAGTGTCCGTCCCTGGCGACAGCAAGGAGGAGACGCAGAACAGCCACCCGCCCAGCCTCGAGGAGTCGGGCTGTGAGAAGACCGTGCAGAGCAGTGCCATGAAGATGATTGACCTGAGTGCTTTCGGCAGGAAGCCCCGGCGACTGCGGCATCTGCGCAGACACGTGCGGCAGGACGTGGGCCTGGGGAGTTACGACCCCGTCCAGGTTGGTTACGCTGAGGCCAGCGTGGCCGGGGCTCCGGCAAGCACCGGGCCAGAGGCCCTCGGAAGCGAGTGCAGCTTCGAGGCGAACGCTGCGTCTCTGGAGGCGCCCATGCCCGAGTCGCCGGAGCAGGGGAAGAGTGAGCAGGGCTTTGCGTGGCAGGAGCCAGCGGATTTTGACGCAGACGCAGCTGGAGTTCACACGGAGCGCAATAAAAAAGCCCAGCTGGACCGGCTGGACATCAACGTGCAGATCGACGACTCCTACCTGGTGGAGGCCGGGGACCGCCAGAAGCGCTGGCAGTGCCGCATGTGCGAGAAATCCTACACCTCCAAGTACAACCTGGTGACGCACATCCTGGGCCACAACGGCATCAAGCCCCACTCCTGCCCGCACTGCGGCAAGCCCTTCAAGCAGCCCAGCCACCTGCAGACGCACCTCCTGACGCACCAGGGCACGCGGCCGCACAAGTGCGACGTGTGCAGCAAAGCCTTCACGCAGACCAGCCACCTGAAGCGGCACATGCTGCTGCACAGCGACATCAAGCCGTACAGCTGCCACTTCTGCGGGCGGGGCTTCGCCTACCCCAGCGAGCTGAAGGCCCACGAGGTGAAGCATGAGAACGGGCGCTGCCACGTGTGCGTGGAGTGTGGGCTGGACTTCTCCACGCTGACGCAGCTCAAGCGCCACCTCTCCACGCACCAGGGGCCCACGCTCTACCAGTGCCTGGAGTGCAGCAAGTCCTTCCACTACCGCAGCCAGCTGCAGAACCACATGCTGAAGCACCAGAACGTCCGGCCCTTCGTCTGCACCGAGTGCGGCATGGAATTCAGCCAGATCCACCACCTCAAGCAGCACTCGCTCACGCACAAGGTGCGAGCAGCCGCTGAGCCCGAGGGCTTTCCCTGCCCCAGAGAGCAGGGGTGGGACCGGGGGAGGGGACGACTTCAGTTCCTTAGAGCTTTGACTGTCCCCACTGGGGGTCAGGATTAAGCAGGATGTAGCCCTTCGAGCTGGCTGTTGGTTTGCGTTAATGACTCATTTGTTGGTAGGACAAAAGGACATCTGAGTTTCCAGGGGCCTGTGTGACCTCCTTTCCCTTGGGGGGGGGGCTCTGGGATCTGCCTTCCTTGCTTGTGGGGCGGGGACAGTGCAATATGGGTGCTGTGGGGCTGGCTGGCCACTCTGTCACTCTGACTTTGGCCTGAGACTGGGGTGTTTTCTGCCTCTTACGGGGGAGCAATTCTCCCAGCTCAGCCCGTGTGCAAAGCAGAATGCAACACCCCTGGTCTTGGTCTTAGAGACCAGTCAGCCCTCTCATTCACAGTGCCCCTTCCCCAGAGGGTGGCCGGGTCTGCCCACGGGGCTCAGGCATAGCGTAGCAGTCTGCATTCTGCCCCAGCCATGCCCTGTCCCCTGGAATGGACCAGGAGCTTCCAGCCAGCTGGGGCACCTGCAGCCCAGGCCCGAAGGGAATGGTTCTTACTCTCCTGCCAAAGGAGGTGCCGAATGCACCCAGAGGCACTTCCTGCTCTGCTGAGGGGGAGCCAGGAGTAAAGGGGGGCGTGGGCAGAAGGATTCCCCACACAGGCTCTCCAGCCCCTGGGCTCAGTTCGCAGGGAAGGCGGCAGGGCTTTGGTGGGATCCCTGTGTCTGTTTCTGCAGAAGGCAAGGAAGGCTGGGGCGGGTGAGGAAACGGGAAAGATTTTGAAGGAGGTGCAGACAAGTTGGTTGCACTGACCCTTTGTTCCTTATGCTCTGTGTCCTGTACAGAGTTTATCTCAGGAGCAGACACACATCCTTAGATCCCCCCGTCTCTGCTCCGTGCTCCTCACGGTCGCTGGGGGAGACTGATGTGCCGCTGAACGTGCCTGAGCTGGCCAGAGGTGTTCTTGTGCTCCATGCAGGGAGCCTGCCGTTCAATGGACTAGGAGGGGGGGCCCCTCCCTGCAGTCCGTTGAGCTGGTCCCCACTAAATAGGCACGCTCCAATTCAGACAGTTCGCTTCAATTTGTGTGGTATTCGTCAGTGTGCTCCCGTTGTGCTCACGTTTCCTGTGACCCTTTCAGGGTGTGAAAGAATTCAAGTGTGAGGTGTGTGGGCGTGAGTTCACCCTGCAGGCCAACATGAAGCGGCACATGCTCATACACACCAGCGTCCGTCCATACCAGTGTCACATCTGCTTCAAGACCTTCGTGCAGAAGCAGACCCTCAAGACCCATATGATCGTGCACTCGCCCGTGAAGCCATTCAAATGCAAGGTACCCTCCAAAATCCTTCTGGGGCGTGGCCCCTTCCTTGGGGCTGACGCCCATGCTTCACCTCTGCAGTGCACCAGCCAAACTGGGCTAAGGTGACCAGTGCCCCCCCAGTCGCAGCACCAAACAGTTCAGCCTGGCTTGCAGTCTCTGCTCCGGAATAGCGGGGCCGCAGCTCTGCACTGGGGCCTGGCCGCAAAGCTGGGCGGGGAGTTTGAAGTGCACATGCCCGTTGAGCCCCTCACTTTCATGAGCACTAAAAGTCACCCCCAGTCTCGCCAGCCCGGTGGGGGCGGAGGGATGAGACTAGTTCAGGTCTATGTGGAAAAGACGGGGCTTGCTGGGAAGCCCAGACCCTTAAGGCAGCCGGCGGCGGGGGCAGGAGGGGGTGATACCACGTGCAGCGACGGGGATGGGGATGGGCTAATTGGTGGCCTGTTGTTCCCAGGTTTGTGGGAAGTCCTTCAATCGCATGTACAACCTGCTAGGACACATGCACCTGCACGCAGGGAGCAAACCCTTCAAATGCCCCTACTGCTCCAGCAAGTTCAACCTGAAAGGCAACCTGAGCCGGCACATGAAGGTCAAACACGGGGTCATGGACATCAGCCTGGACAGCCAAGGTGGGTGTGGCGGCCTGCGGGGGCTCCTGGCCGGGAGGGGAATCCAGCATTGACGGGGCACCCGGGAAGAATGGCCAAACCCTGCACGACGGCTCCCTCTGCAGGTGCCTTTTGGAGCCTGCAGGTCCCGTTCTAACCTAGGCTCCTGGTCCCCTGCTGTCCGCTAGCCTGTGTGTGTGTGTGTCTCTCTCTCTCTCTCCTGGGGGCTGCCCCACACGTGTCCCTGCAGCACAGAGGCTGTCAGGTGGAAGCCGGCGGTTCGAGCAGCTGGTTGGGGGCAGTTGAGGCTTCTGGTAGTATCAAAGGTGCATCTCCGCCTTCCCCTGCCTTTGGCCGGGGCTGAGGTGACTGTTAGGGGATGGAATTCTGTATTCCCAGCCTCTGGCCCTCCCTCCCCCAGGGAGGGCGAGATGCTTTAGCTGGCTGGTTCTGCTCAAGCGCTCTGCAGGGAAATAGCGAACGATGTTGCCATATACTGGTCAGTATTAGTGTTCAGACTCTAGCCTCCAGCAGGAACAAGGAGCTGCAGCTCGGAGCTGTTGTTTCAAGCTGACTGCAGCCTCCTCCATGGGCTGTGCCTGGGCCATGGGTTCTCGTCTAGTGCTGTACGCCCGTTAACGAAAGCGGAGATTCTGCTGAAAAACCATCGGCATGGCCCTAGAAGTGCATTGTACCTGGGGTGCTGGCCCGTGTCGATTGCTGTAGTCGCTCTGCACCAGAGACAGCAGCACACCATGGGGCAGCCCCTGTCCCACTGGGCGTATGAGCCAGCTGATTGCCTGGCTGGATGCCTGGCACTCGGGCACAGTGTTACGAAGTCTGAAGCCTGGGCCCCAGAGTGCAAAGCCATCTCCCACTGTCAGCTGCACCACTGCACTGCCACTGCTCCAGGGCCTTGAAAAGACCTTGCAGGTGTGGGTCAGGGGCTGCCTCCTTTGCACCCCTTTCCTGGCAGACTAGCTCTGGACAGGCATGACAGCCTCCCCCTCCCTGGTTGTCTGCCAACATGTGAGCCCCACCTGCCAGGAGCATCAGAGACTGTTGTCTAGCTCCCCAGCCTGCCGTGCGGTCCTGGGGGTTTGGGGCCAGCTCTCCAAGGTAGGTGGGTGCCAGAAACGCCCTGCCCATGACTGTGCTGCTGGGCCATGCTCGCTCCGCCTCACGCACGGCCGCCCTGTCCTGCTCCGTCCCAGCGTGTCACGTTATTCCTAGATCCCATGATGGAACTGACCGGGGCAGAGCACACGGAGCTGGACGCCCAGCAGGAAATGGAGGAGTACGACGAGGAGAACGCCTATGACTACGCAGGGGTGGGCAACCCCCCGGACGAGAACGCCCTGACGGAGCAGGCCATGAAGGAAATGGCCTATTACAACATGTTGTAGCTGAGACGGGGGCCAGGCCCAGCCAGGTGCAGGGCCGCGAGAGGGAGTGACATGGGGAAAGCAAGCTCCTGGGCCCCGTTGTAGCATCCAGAACCAAAAGCCAGGCTGAGCCCGGCCTGCCCCCTGGCGCTCGGCTGAGCCCAGGGAAGCTGATGCTCCATGGTGAAGGAGGAAATGGTGAAGGCTCTGAGCCCTGACAGTGCCAGGCTGGAGCTGGGCTGCAGGAAGTGGTCGCCTTTAGCCACTGGCTCCTGCGGCTGTCCAGGCGCCAGTGGGACTGGGCCTGCCTCTCACCTGGGCCATCCCCTCTCAGGACCCCTTTTTGTGCCGCCCCTCGCCTGGGGGAAGAGCAGAGAGCCCCGTGTTCATTCCTGCCTGTTCAGGCACTGGACCGGCCTGCAGTCTCCGCTGTGCAGGGGGAGCATAGTGCTCAGGCCGTGGCACCGGGAGGGAGCGCTGGCTCCTGGGCTCCACCCCGGCGTGCACTGGAAGAGATGCTCTCTGGCTGCCATACTTGAAGCCCCAGGTAGGGAAAGGCTTGGTCCAGAACCTGCTGAGCATTAATTATTCTACCTCCTCCCTAGTCTGCTGTGGTGGGGACTGCAGCCCAATCCTGGCTCGGAGACACTTGGACTCAGCCCGCAGCCAGTCCCACTTTATCCCCCGCTCAGCTCTGCAGCCGCCCCCCACCCCAGGAAGCAGCCATGTGTGGGAGGAGGGCTCTCTTGCTCTCCTCCCTTTGCCCACACTGGGGCCAGGAACACTTGCTCTGGCATCCCCCAGGAGCGGGAGGGAGAGCTGGAGCCGGCCCTGTACACAGAGAATATTTTCTTATCGACCCCGGGGGAGGCCCGGGGCTGGGCACTGTGTTAAAGGACAGACCTGTACAAAGCTGAGAAATGGTGGTATTTTGAAAGTAATTTATTTTTTTCAGATGCGCTGAGCGGTTAAAGGATAAATCCAGCCACCTTCCTTTGTAAAGCTGTGTAACTCGTGTGTGAGCGGGAGGCGCTGGTGGGGATGCAGGGCTCCTGGGGAGAGCACATCCTGCACAGGGACCTGCCGGGGCCCAGAGGGGCTGTCACTCCCTGAAGGAAAGGGAGTGTGTTTGCCTGCTGCCCATGAAGATGGGCCTAGGGAACCCAACGGGGGGAGGCACTGTCACTGCCCCAGTCTGCTGCTTGGGGAGGGGATGGCAGCCTGGGGCTGGGGTGACTGCAGAGGCCCAGGGGGGCTGTGTCGCAGCAGGTGCCAAGGGGGTTTACCTTGGGGGCAGGAGCTGGGCCTGTTACTCCTAAAGCACTGGGAACTCCAGGCTGCAGCCCAGCCCGAATAGCGCTCTGCTGAAAGTCACTGGCCCAAGAGGTGCAGGAACCAGCCCTGCCCTATGTGGAAGAGCCAGCAAGGCCCAGAGGGAGGGCAGTGGCTGGAAGTGTGTAGAAACAGCAGCTTAGGGAGGCCCTCTCCAGCCTCGCAGCCACTGCTGGCCTTTGCAACCCAGGTGGGGGAAGAAGCAGAGACCTTGCCTCCATACTACCCCCTGGCATGGGCTTGGGGCAGCAGTCAACGGCTAGAGTTATGGTCCAAGCAAGGCAGGCCCCATGCTCGCTGGCCCTAGGCAGGGCAGCTGCTCCTTTGAGGGCTCCAGGACTGACCACAGGGGAAGACTTTGCCAGTTTCCCAGCTCAGGACAGTGCAAGCACAGAGGGAGCAGGCCCCAGCAGGGCGGTGAGCATACAGCTCCCCCCATGCCCCAGTGGAGAGGCACGGGCTAGCCCACAACCCACCGAGCCTGCTGAGCACTGCCCAGGCCCTATGGGGGGAGCTCAGCTCCTGCAGCTCCAGCTCTGAGGTCACTTTTCCCCCTGCCACAATGCCGAGGGACTCTCAAAGCTGCCCAAAAACTAGGTAGCAATTCAGCCCTAGCTCCCATTGGTGGCCCACATTCCTTGCAGGGGCCGGGGTGCTCCTCTCCCCGTGTCCCCACTTACCAGACAGCACCTGTCCAGCCTGCAGCGTTCACCCTGAAGCACGGCTGAGCCCAGGAAGAGGGAAGGTGGAGCAGGCTCTCTGACTGCCAAGGCAGCCGCTCGCTCCCTGCCGCGTTCTCTACACTGCCTCTTTTAGGGGAGCTGCTCCGAGACTGGGCAGGCCTGGCCTGGCCTGGCCTGGGGGCAGAGATGGAGGTTGCCGAGGCCTGGGTGACAGTGGCCCATGCCTGTCCCTGAGCGAAGGACAGCAGCAGTGTGCGCATAGCAGTCAGTGGTCTCATTCAGGCACAGCTCTCAGGTGCACTGGCGTTCCCTCACTGGGAGAGCTGTTTAACAATCATTCTACGTAACAGCCTTTAGCTGTGGGATTTCCCAGGCAGGGCTAGGGCCAGCCCCCAGCCTCCCCCTGGCTGGCTGCTAGCCTGGCCCTGCACCTGTCCAAACAGCAGCTTTGGCTGGAGAAGGGGCTACAGGCAGGACTCTTACTGGAGGTGAATGCAGTCCGGGGTAACTTCCTGTGAGAGCTCGCTAGGGCCCCACAGCCCAGCCCAGGGGGACAGAGAGGGGAATTTGCCACCAGGGGCCAACAAGGCAACCATGGGGGGGGGGGGTGGAGTAGCTGCAACTTGCCAGTGACCTGTTAACCTTTTCTGGGCAGCACAGAGCCGGAGGGCAGCTGGGTGAAGAGGTTTATTAGCTACACTTGGCACCATGAGGTCAGAGGAGGTTACATAAATTAGGCACACGACTGGCAGCGCTGGCCAGAAGGTCCTGGCACTTGCGCTCCTAGAAATACTTTAAAAAACACGTTATAAAAACTAATCTGAGTGTTCCTGGGCCCAGTCCATGAGCTCAGAGCAGCATTGCTCCTACCTGTTAAAAATGAGGTAAACCGCCTGGCTCTGGTGCCGCTACAGACGGACGGACACCCCCCACCCCACCCTGAACAGCCCATCGCCTCTACTGCTTGCCCAGGGCTTTGTCCAAGTTGTTCTTGATTGTGTCCAGGAAGTCCGTGGTGTTCATGTAGTGCTCGTTCAGCTTCACGCTAAAGACAAGGGCAGAGGGTCAGTGGAGACTGCCCCAGCAGCCTCTCCCACTGCCACCGCAGCCCCTGCGAAGTCCGGCCTGGCTGACTGGGGAGGAGGGAGGACAGGCTACTGCAGCCACCTGCCCCGCATGGTAGCAAGAGCAGGGACCCCATTGTATCTGCTGTGTGAGAGTCAAGCCTCCAGCTCCTCCCAGAGACACTGGGCCCAGGGGCCCCATCCTGTCCCAATTCCCAGTACAAGAGCACCCCCACAAGCCCAACAGGTGCAGGTGCTGCAGGGCTAAGGGTGCCTGCAGAGCGGGTGGGAGCTGGACAACGCAAAGGGGCACAGCTCTGTCTGAGCCAGGCAGCTCTGCAGCGTGTGAGCAGAGCCCCAGCCCTGCAGGGAGCCAGGCCCCAGAGCACTCCCTCCGTGGGTCACTCACTTGCTGAGCCCGTGAATGCAGCCTGCGAGGTCCTTCGTCATAGCTCCACTCTCCACCGTCTCCACGCAGACCTTCTCCAGAGTCTGAGCAAACCTGGCGGGGAGACAGCAAGTCACAGCCTGTCCTCCCGAAGGCCCTCTGGTCGCGGGCTGGCCAAGGAGCTGTGTTACCCTGCCACGTTGGCCAGCCAGGCTCCTTCCACACAAGCGACCCAGGGCCTGGTACAGTGACAGGCCACATTAGCCCCCCGCCAGCTGAGGCAAGGCTCCGGTCTCCAGGAAACAGTTACAGCCCTGTCCCCAGCCCCGTCCCCGTGCTCCGCCCCATTGCTTACGTCATGAGATCCGGGTTACTGTCCAGCTTGCCTCGGTGCTCCAGGCCACGCGTCCAGGCAAAGATGCTGGCAATGGGGTTAGTGCTGGTGGGTCGTCCCTGCAGGGGACAGAGCATCAGAACACCCAGCACCAGGGAGGCTCTGGGCAGCCCGCAGTAAGCAGTGCCCCCGCAGATCCCACCCCACACCTGGCAGGCTCACAGCCCCAGAGGGGGACACAGGCCAGGCCCCAGCCCCTCCCTCACCCAGAGTGTGAACACAGACTCTCCACTCACTGCCAAGCCCCCTCCCCTGGCACTGGGCACTGGCAGGGAGGGGCCCAGCTGCACCCACAGCCTCACAAAGTGAGGGCAGTGCCTGCAACGGGGGGAAGGGTAGGGGGGGGCACACCCACCTTCTGGTGCTCCCGGTAGTGGCGGGTGACAGTGCCATGGGCTGCCTCAGCTTCTATGGTCTTTCCATCCGGGCACACCAAGACAGAGGTCATCAGGCCCAGGGAACCGAACCCTAGAGCACGAAGCAGAGTCCGGTCAGGAGCAGTCCCGGGAGGCCGCCCTGGGCACAAAGCTGCCCTCCCCAGCCAGGCCGAGCAGAAGGGCCTCAGCCACCAGCCCCTCCCCACAGCAGGGGCTGAGCCAAAGCCGCTGGGTGTGGTGGCCCCCCCGCTCAGCGTTACCTTGGGCCAGGATGTCCGACTGGACGTCCCCGTCGTAGTTCTTACAGGCCCAGACGAAGCCGCCGGAGGATTTCAGCACCTGGGCCACCATGTCGTCGATGAGCCGGTGTTCATACCAGATCTTCAGCTTGTCAAACTCTGTCTTGTAGTGCCTGGGGAGCCGAGAGCGGGGTCATCGGGCGCAGCCAGAGAGACCCCGCGGCACAGACAGGATGTGAAGTGCTGGGTACCCAGTAAACCCCTCTGCATCTCCCCAGACACGGGCTAGAAACAGCTTCATGGGCCTTGGAAATAATAGCACCAGGGCCAGGCCTCCAGCCAGGACTGCCCTGCAGAGAGCCACTCCTGCAGGGCTGCTACCGTACAGTACACTGGTCCTGCCCTCCTCAGCAGGGGGCGCTGTAGGGAGTGGGGCAGGAGGGCAGTGCCAGGGCCCTCCCAGCAGGGGCACTGTAGGGAGTGGGACTGGGGGGCAGTGCCAGGGCCCTCCCAGCAGGGCCCCTGTAGTGAGCAGGGCAGTGCCAGGCCTCCCCAGCAGGGGCACTATAGGGAGTGGGGCTGGGGGGCAGTGCCAGGGGCCCCCCCAGCAGGGTCGCTGTAGTGAGTGGAGCTGGGGGGCAGTGCGAGGGGCCCCCCCTAGCAGGGGCGCTGTAGGGAGTGGGGCAGGAGGGCAGTGCCAGCCCCCCCCCAGCAGGGGCACTGTAGGGAGCAGGGGCACTATAGGGAGTGGGGCTGGGGGGCAGTGCCAGGGGCCCCCCCAGCAGGGGCGCTGTAGGGAGTGGGGCAGGAGGGCAGTGCCA